GTTGGCAACTATGGCACTGTATCAAGGATAATGTGTTTGTTTTTTTAATAATCCCTGGTGGAAAATAATGAATCCTCCACCAGGTATTATTAAAAAAACAAAACACATTGTGTCGGGGGCGTGGCTTAACATGTGACAGGGGCGGGGTCAAACTGCGACGAGGGCAGGGTTAAATGTGCCCCCCTACTTTTGTCACTGGCCCTCCAAGTGGCCCCCCGAAAAATAAATCCTAGAGATGCCACTGCTCAGTGTCCCATGTCTCACTGGGTCCCCTTTGCTCTGAGTGTCCCCTAGTGTCCTACTGGCACTGGACATACTGAGACATAGGGACACTGGGAGAAATGGGGACACAGACACTGGGAGACTAGGGAACTGGGTGACATGGGAACACTGACACTGTGATACATAGGGACACTGATGCCAGGCTGGCCTTCCAATTCTTTGGTGGACAGACATGCTCCCTTTTTGGGCATGTTCGCCCCTTTTGGCAGTTCTGGTCACGTGATTCGGGTCAGTGGCCCACCCTTTTACCCCACCCATTGACTTTCTGCTTCACTGGACACTGCTGTTAGGGGGGTATGGATTTACTTGAAAGATGAAAGCATAAATTAGATAAAGAGATTAGCATAGAGTATGTGTTTTCTTATAGCTGCATCCTTTGAGTTTCCCTCCAACACCAACTCCATCAGATACATGACGCTTGAGAGGTATGACTGTTTTAGTGTTTTTGGTCGATAAGATTCTGTAATTAGGCCCCATCATATTTGTCAGCACCAGGCCCACTGGGCTCTTAATCTGGCCCTGACCGCTGCCTGCATTCATGTGAACAAGATGCCCGCCTCCTCGTGGTCGTTCATGCGAATTGCAGCCACCCAGACGAACAATTAGAACACTGCGGTTAGAATCGTTAAGAGGTGATAATAGGGATGATTGATTAACAAGCTCCCGGGTGGTTCATGGCTCGTGTGCCTGTTCGGTTCCCGAACAGCATAGGAAAATGGCAAAGACACAGTCTTTTAACAGGCTTTTTGCATAGTCCTTGGGCAGGAGGCTAGCCAGCAGGCCCCTCCAAGAACACGTGGCAGAAGCATTTCTGCCACACATAGCAATACCAGGGTACTCTTTATATAGAAAATACTGTGAAGGCAAGAAAGGGGGAGGAGTCGCCCTTTATGTAAAGGATAGCATAAAATCTAGCCTAATAAAAGTTAATGAGGCGAATATATTTGGGTTA